ATTGTGTGTGTGTGAAGGTAATGTGTGTGTGGTGAAGGTATTATGTGTGTTGTGAAGGTATTGTGTGTGTGGTAAAGGTATTGTGTGTGTGTGAAGGTAATGTGTGTGTGGTGAAGGTATTGTGTGGTGAAGGTATTGTGTGTGTGTGAAGGAATTGTGTGGTGAAGGTATTGTGTGTGTGTGTGTGTGAAAATATTGTGTGGTGAAGGTATTGTGTGTATGTCTGAAGGAATTGTGTGGTGAAGGTATTTATTTGTGTGTGATGGTATTGTGTGGTGAAGGTATTGTATGTGTGTGTGAAAGTATTGTGTGGTGAAGGTATTGCGTGTATGTCTGAAGGAATTGTGTGGTGAAGGTATTTTTTTTGTGTGTGAAGGTATTGTGTGGTGAAGGTATTGTGTGTGTGTGTGAAGGTACTGTGTGTGGTGAAGGTATTGTGCATGGTGAAGGTAATGCGTGTGTGTGAAGGAATTGTGTGGTGGTATTTTGATGATCAAGGCATTGCCTGAAGCATTAATATTAGTTTAGGGGTTCTCTTTCTCCTTTTTCTTTCTTCTTCTCTTTCCTCTTCCCCACATCCCTCCCCATTTCCTCTCTGCCTCATTCTTCTTTTTTCCTCCAAACTCAAATAAGGAAATAATCCAGTCTTCAGGCTGATCATATGCTTGAGTGACCACACATCTCAGCTGAATGTCGCTGACATAATGTAAATCAGCTTCTCAGCTCTGTGCTCAAGCCCAGCTTTTAGACATTTTCCAACTGCCTGTGGACTGATACTTCTGTGAAACACAATGATGAACCACTACAAAAATAAGTGTAAAATGCAAGCATAAATTTTTGGATTTAAACAAAACTCCTCTGTCAGATTGATGTAAAAATTTCTAAACACTCTCAATTTTTGTTTTTATCCAATTGTGAATCTTGCCTGTCCATAGACCATATTTTGAGTAGCATGGATACAGATTGTTACCTTACATGGAGATGTTTCATGTTTATATTTCAGCCCATTTTCTTTGGGAGAACACAAACAGCGTTTCTGGCCTCTTCTCTGCTAATCTTAGTTTGTCTAAACACATTCTAAGCTCTACTGATCTCTCCATGAACACAGCACTTCAGCTTGGTGGAGCGCTTCCTCCAGTACACACTAGCTTACAACCCTTCAGCTAATGGGCATCAATTTTACTCTTTCTCTTTAGAAAGACTTTGAGCTTGCATTTTCTTTCCTAGGTCCCATTTACCACTCATATATGTGCCCCCACCTGCCCAATTGTCCACTTGTCCTCTGAGGTACCTGGTTGGGCTAAGTGCATATATAAAAAGTGTATGTGTTATATATATTACATATAACTACATATATATATATATATTTATTATATGATATGATTTAGCAGTATAACATATATATGTATTTAGCCCACCCAAATCTCATCTTGAATTAAAACCCCCATAATCCCCATCTGTCATGGGAGGGACCTGGTGGGAGGCAATTGAATAATGGGGGCAGGTTTTTCCTGTGCTGTTCTCATGATAGTAAGTCTCAGAGATCTGATGGCTTATTAATACAAAGGGCAGTTCCCCTGCACACACTCTTGCCTGCTGCCATGTAAGATGTGCCTTTGCTCCTCCTTTGCCTTTCATCAGGATTGTGAGTCCTCCCCAGCCATACAGAACTGTGAGTCTACTAAACCTCTTTTTCTTTATAAATTACCCAGTCTTGGGTATGTCTTTATCAGCAGTGTGAGAACAGACTAATAAAATACATAATTATGTATAATTATATATAGGCGCTTGGAAACTTTAGACATTAAACATAATGTGGCATACATTGTATATAAAATTATATATCATAGAATTACATAAATATATTTATGTATACAATTATATAATCACCTCTATATAATATATAAATCCCCAAGCTGGTTATATGTACTATATATAAAAATATGTAATTAGGGAGATGTGTAGACTTGCCTTACTCACCAGTGTCATTGGGGTATTTGTCTTCCCTGGTACACGTCTTCCCATCATCTTCCTGAATGTAGCCTTCCCGGCACTCGCAGCGGTAGCTGCCCAAGGTATTGATGCAGATGTGGGCACACAGTGTCCCATTGCTGTTGGCACACTCATCAATATCTGGTTTGAACCAAATGTAGAGAATACTTAGACAATTTCTGAGGATTCACTTCTAATACAACAGATGACATGGGGCTTGGCTTCTCTCTAAATGACAACACAGGACACTTGTATGGACCTTGATCAGAGAAGTATGGAATAAGGTAGGGAGCTAGAAACATGGGTCATTCACAAAAAGAGCACTTTTGGCCAAGTGACCATGGTTACAGGCTGAGCAGTGAGGGGGTTCCTGGCTGTGGTTCTGCCACTCCCAAGTCATATGGCTTAAACTGCCAGCCTTCAGAGATCTCACTTACAGAACAACGACAATGAAGCCTCAACACTTCATAGGACTACTTAGACATGAAAATGAGATCACCAATGCCAGCACTCACTTAAAGACGCAAACATTACAGAGACGATTTTTTGCAAGCACCCTACTGTGCTGAGGATTTTTAAGTTTCTCTTTATGGTGTAGGTTCCACACAGCATGATGGTGACCCACAGGTCACTTAGGAATGGCCCCTTCCCAGTTAAAAACCATGATGACACCTGAGAAAAGCTACTTCTAATAAAAGAAAATAGTCATGATGGGTTTAATGTAAAGAGTCTTCCCCAGGAAGTTTCTGCCCCAGGCAGAGCCCTCGTGAGCTGTGGAAATGAGCCATGGGACCATCAAACAAGTCCCCATGAAGAGCCCATGCTTACTGTGCACATCATGGACTTGGCTCCCTGCTGCATGGGTGGAAACAAAAACATTTCCCACTGTGAGAAGAGTGACAGGCCCAATTCCATTTCCTGTTCACTGGTTGAAGACAGTGGGTAGCAGCGGGTGGGAGCCTTGGTACGTAGCCTCAGACTGTGCACATGTGCCGGGCAGACACAGGCTGGCCCTGAACTTGAGGATGGCAACCACTTCCCAGCCCCTCCCTGCACAGGCTTCCAGGGACCCGGGCCCTGTGTGTGCTGAGGGGAGGGTGGTCATCTGGACGCTGCGCTAGCAGTACCGACTATGTCTTCCGGAGACCCGATGCGGCAGCTGCATCCTCCTCTGCAATTCCTCAGGGTCACTGCCTTTCTTCAGGTGTTCTTGCCCTAAACCTACATGTGATGCTGCCTGTACTGCCCGGAGAGAAAGAGGAGATGATGTTGAAAGCAAAGATTGAAATAGAACTCTTAGTAGAAAGCAAGTTCTGCTGGTGCCTAACCCCCAAACAAAAAGAACAGGGGGCTGGGTGTAGTGGCATATACTTGTAATCCCAGTGCTTTGTGGGGCCAAGACAGGAGGGTCCCTTGAGCCCAGGAGTTTGAGTCCAGCCTGGGCAACATAGTAAAATCCCATCTCTAAGAACAACGAACAAAATCAGCTGGGTGTAGTGCTACGTGCCTGTAGCCCCAGCTACTCAGGAGGCTCAGGTGGGAGGATCGCAGGAGCGTGGCAGGTCGAGGCTGCAGTGAGCCATGATCATGCCACTACACTCCAGCCTGGGCAACAGAGCGAGACCCTGTCTCAAAAATAAATAAATAAATAGGTACTGTAGCTGCCATAACTGAAGTAAGTGCCTTGTGCCTGGGACCTGAGCCTTCGGAATGGCCTGTGCCTCTCCCTGCAGGAGAGGCCAGAGATCCCTGCTCCATTCACTTGGGAATCATGATCCCATTCTCTGGCATTGTGGGGCACCATTCCCAAATGCTGATAGGGAGAAACCATAGGAACTACGATTAAAAGTACTCATAAATGGTGCTCCCGAGAGCCCCTGCTAGGGTAGAGAAAGAGGGGTCTCATGACAGCTGGTTTATCTTCCGCTAGGGTCTACCTAGGAGTCTCTGTAGTTTGTCCTTCATCCGATTCTTAAATCTCACCATGCCTACGAATCATTAGAGGTGTCTGTGTAGATACTCATGTCTCTCAAGAGCTGTGATTCACTAGGTGTGGAAAAAAGGCCGAGAATCTTTTGTTTTCCCTCTGAACAAGGACCCCAAATGTTTCTCAGGTTAGCCATGAGCTGACCACACTTTGAGACACATGGTTCCAGAGGGAAATGAGCCATACATCTGCCTTAGAAGCTCAGAGAATGCATGGCTGGGACAGCCAGTTTGTGAGGGTGACAGCAAAGAGGCCGGTGCCGTGGATGGTGCAGGCTCGGCTCAGCTGCAGCCCAGGTGGCTGGCATCAGCTCCCGCCGACTCCCTCCCAACCTATCTGCCATATGGCTACTTCCTTTTTCCCCCCAATCATCTTCTAAGAGAATGTTTATTCTTGTTCTGTCTGTGTTTTTAGGTTTCTGACCAGTTATATTCTGTTTTACATTATCCTGGTTTATATTTGGGCATGTTCCCCTCTGCTCTTACATCTCACTGCCAATTAGGATCTCACGGGTGCCAAAACCCGGAAGAATTTCTTGGGCCTAGCTGGTTTTAGTAATTGTGATGAAAGGCAGTGAGCCATCCCCAGGATAATATCAAACACAACTTCATCCAACAAGTATGAGAATTTAAGGGTCCAACCGAGGGCAGAATATCTGAACAAGGCACATCCTTGGAAGCTGGAAACAAAGCACATTCCCAACACACCCAGGCAGTACGGCTTCTCCCGCTTCCGGTGTCTCTCCCGGTCATATCGGTATCCCGGATAACAGGTACACAGCACGCGGCCAAAGTTGTCTGTGCACTGCTGTTCACAGGGAGCCTCGGCACAGACGTCGTAATCTGAAAAAGAAAAGTGAGAGCTCACATCAACCACCGGAGGAGGCAGGGTAACCTGGCTCTGGTCTGGAAAGGACTTTCCGGGCTGCGCTCTGCTCAAGGGCACGTGTGAAGCATGGACAGGTACACTTAGAGGGACAGGAACTCTTTTGGGCTGTGGAGTATCTTCTAAGAGCACCGCAATGGGTAACTTTTCAAAAAAAGATATAAATCTTTTAATAAAAAATAACTACATTTTTCAAAAAAGGCTATTTAGGAAGAAGAATGGCGTGTTGCACGTTTTTTTAAAAAATGTAGTATACTTTAAGTTCTGGGGTACGTGTACAGAATGTGCAGGTTCAGGTTTGTTACATAGGTATACACGTGCCATGGTGGTGGTTTGCTGCATCCATCACCCTGTCATCTACATTAGATATTTCTCCTAATGCTATCCCTCCTAACCCCCCTCACCCCCTGCTATCTGTCCCCTAGCCCTCTCACCCCCCTGACAGGCCCCAGTGTGTGATGTTCCCCTCCCTGTGTCCATGTGTTCTCACTGTTCAACACCCACTTATGAGAACATGAGGTGTTTGGTTTTCTGTTCCTGTGTCAGTTTGCTGAGAATGATGGTTTCTAGCTTCAACCATGTCCCTGCAAAGGAGATGAACCATCCTTGTTAATGGCTGCATAGTATTCCATGGTGTTTATGTGCCACATTTTCTTTATCTGGTTTATCATTGATGGGCATTTGGGTTGGTTCCAAGTCCTTGCTATGCAATGGGTAATTTACATGGCATAACATCACTCATGATTCTTCCCCTAGGTCACCTCATTATCCTTTGGTCTTTGTCACTATCCAAAGATAAAAGACTCTTAGGAGGGCCAGCCTCTGCAGACTCCCTCAGGGATGGGGGTGCTGTTTTGTCTTGTTCACCAGCTACTGCAGAGACAGGGGACTCCTCCCAGCAGAATACTAAAGAACGGCCAGCTGGGGTGACAGGTGGTGTTATCATGTGGGAGGAAGGTGTGGAAATAAAGCAGCCTCAGAGAGGTATGAATGGGGCTTTGTGTCTACGTCTGGTCTTATGCTGCTAATACAGACATACCTGAGACTGGGTAATTTATAAAGGAAAGAGGTTTAATTGAATCACAGTTCCACATAGCTGGGGAGGCCTCACATCACGGCTGAAGGTGAATGAGGAGGAAAGCCACTCCGTACATGGCAGCAGGCAAGAGACTGTATGCAGGGAACTCCCCATGATAACCATCAGATCTCGTGACACTTATTCACTATCATGAGAAAACCACAGGAAACACCCACCCCCAGGATTCTACTACCTCCCACTGGGTCCCTCCCACAACACATAGGAATGATGGGAGCTACAATTTAAGGTGAGATTTGGTGGGGACACAGCCAAACCATATCACTTTGTAATAGAAATGTACATGAGTTATAAGAGAGCTGATGCTTATGTGTGTATTGTGTATTCTGTATCAGCGTGCATCCTAGGGGGTTGATATCTCATGCTGAGAAGGGGTTGGGTGAGTCCCAGTGGCTAATGGTCTCTTTCCAGCCTTCAGCCTGAGCAAACTGGGGTGGATGCACTGCTTCTCATAAAGAACTAGGGCATCTGCTCCTCTCAGTTCCTATGAACTGGTATTTAATGAGGCTCTGAAGGGACTTTGGCTCTAATTCAGTAGCTCAGGCTCAACAATGACTCCCAGACCGGAGCCAGCACCTCATTAATCCTTGCGCCATCTCCTCCAGGTGCTGACAGATAAACTATCCCTGGACACAGAGCGAGTCTGGCTTTGCTCCACCACATATGAAGGCGAACAGGTAAGCTGTCAGCTCCCGATGCAGGCAAGGTTTGTGTGACAAGGACTGTGCCATTCTCACAATAACCTGGAAAGCTGCCCTTGTTGAATATTCGTCCCCTCGATCGTGAAATGATGCCTGCTTTGCCTGCAAGGTGTTCTGACTAGCCCCGCCAGCTGTCTCCGGACACTCATGTTTCCTCCACTCGGCATTATCTTAGGCAGCCAAGGTTCTGTGCCCTTTTTGTTCCAGAGCATGATCCTGGCATGACTGGCTGTGAGTTTCCCTGTCAGCTGTTGCCACCACTGAGCAGCAGCTGGGAAGAGGAAGAAGGCAGAGAGGCTGTCAAAGTGTTTGTGTTGATCATGGGGCCCTATAAGGCTTGTTGTGAAAAACAGTTCCCTGTCTCTCCTACCTTTCCTGCTTCCCTGAGGAGCCACTTCCAACTCTTCTAGATGATTCTTTTTATACTCACTAATGCATTTCTAAATAGCTGACTTGCATTGCTTCCTTTTTATTTTAAATCCTCTCTATTGGCTTCCAGTAACGGAAGAGATGCATTTAACTGTTTCATGGCCTCCTGTCCCCCGCAATCACACCCATAATTTCCTATTCCCTCCTCTGGCCAATACAGTCATGATGAAACTTGGGTTTGATAATCTTAGTATTTGTACCATCATGACAACATAAAAGCGATTCTTTGCTGAACCTGGAAGTATGCTCGAATTGCTTATACTTTCTTGAAGACCTTTTTGTCTTCCCTGGAATTAAAATAATTATCTTGTATATTTTGGGGTGCCAGTTGCTGAGCTTTCTCTCTCAGCTTCCAACACCCACCTTCCTCTTCCATGGGCTACTTTGTGACTTGGATTCTGGAGACCACATTTTTCCCTTGTCAGTTGCCAGCCTCTTAGTTTCTGCCAGTGACATACATAGAAACACAGACAGAAACTGACAGGGAGGCTGGAATAGGGAGAAGGGATTATCCGCCTTTTTCTGTTTTGCCTCCTGGGGTTCCTCTTCATGAAAGCCTAATATCAGCCTTTCTCTTCCATCCCACTAGTAGAGTGTTTCAACAGCAGCTGCAAGCTGGGCATGGTGGCGTGTGCCTGTAGTCTCAGCTACTCTGGAGGTTGACGTGGAAGGCTTGCTTGAGGCCAGGAGTTCAAGATCAGCCTAGGCAACATAGTGAGACCCTGTCTCTACCAAAAAGAAAGCAGGAGCAGCAAAATCCAGCTTGTATTTTTTCTAATACTTGCAGAATTGGCCTCACTGTATCCCATTTCAGAGACGCCAGCACCAGCCAGCCATCTGGTACTTCCTTCTCAAAGGTCTGGGTCCTGATCCACTAGTAACTTCCTCTGAGTTCCAAGAAACAGGGCTTGCTCGTCAGCACCTCTTCCTCAGAGGTCTGGGTCCTCCAAACTTCTAAGTTTTCAGTGGGCCAATATCTTCTGTTTCCCTAGCCTATAGGCAGCAGCTGCTTCCTGCAGTTGTTACCTCCATACTTACTTTTCCTTCTGCATTTTTGGTTCTCAATTTCTAGATAGCAATTCTTCATATTAATTGCTTTCTGTTAAATAAGTGGTGAAGGCTCTGTTTCTGGACAACTTCAATGTAGAACTCTGTAGGTCTGCTGCATAGCTGCCTCTCGGTCTTGAACTCAAGTAATCCTCTTGTCTTAGCCTCCCATAGTGCTGGGATTACCAGCACTGTGCCTGGCCTACAGCTGCCTCCAGGAATGTGCATTCATCATGAACCTAGGGATGACCATCACCTCCCTCTCTCTTGTGTTGGATTCCTGTTTCCTGGATCCCACGTGTATTAGTCTGTGCTCATGCTGCTAATAAAGACATACCTGAGACTGGAAAATTTATAAGGGAAAGAGGTTTAACTGATTCATAGTTCCACATGCTGGGGAGGCCTTAAATAATGTAAGAAGGCAAATGAGCCAAGTCACATCTTACATGGTGGCAGCCAAGAGAGAGCGTGTACAGGGGAACTCTCATTTATAAAACCATCAGATCTTGTGAGATTTATTCACTATCATGAAAACAGTGTGGAGGAAACTGCCCCATCATTCAATTGTCTCCACCTGGCCCTGCCCTTGACCTATGGGGATTACAATTTGATGTGAGATTTGGGCGGGGACACAGCCAAGCCATATATCCATGTCTTTCTCTCTTCCACTTAACTTCCTTATTTTAGTGGAGAATATTCTCCATTGGCTTCTTGAAAAATGTGATAAAAGAGGTAAAGTTTTGAGATCATGCATGTCTAAAATATCTTTTATCAGCCCTTATGATTACTACTGATAGTTTGCACATATAATTCTAGGTTGGAAAACTTTGCCTTAGAATTTTGAAGGGATTGTTCCATTGTCTTCCAGCTTTCAATGCTGCTGTTGGGAAGTCCTATGAGATTCAGATTCTTGAGCTTTTGTATGAAGCATATTTTTTCCCTCTCTGAACATTTTTAGGATTTATATGGTACCACTTCAATCTTTGGTAAAACCTTTTTATCTGGAAATTAATATCCTTGATTCTGAAGACTTTTTTTAAAAAATTATATCTCTAAGAACTTACTCGTTCCACCACTCATCTTCCAACCCTCCCACTATTCCCCCAACTACTTACCTTCCAGTCCTTCCACTATTTCCCCCCCACAACTCACCTGCCAAGCCTCCTATTTCCCCCCACAACTCACTTTCCAAGCCTCTCACTATTCCCCTCAACTACTCATCTTCCAAACATCCCATTATTTCCTCCCCCAACCACTCACCTTCCAGCCCTCCCACTATTCCCCCCCAACTTACCTTCCAACCCTCCCACTATTCTCCCCGAACTCACCTTCCAACCTCCCCACTATTCCCCCCAACTACTCACCTTCCAACCCTCCCACTATTCCCCCCAACTCACCTTCCAGCCCTCCCACTATTCCCCCCCCCACCCCCCCTCCCGCCCCCCCACCATTCCCCCCAACTCACCTTCCAGCCCTCCCACTA